TTAATTTGAGGCACGTGCCTCAGTTTAAAGGGTGGTATAGTTGCATTTCACATATAATAAATAATTTATTAAGTACACACCAAGACTAAGCCAATCTTTCTCAGTTACTATTTACGCAAATACGTAATTACTTATAATATAAGTATTTATAATCACTGATATAAATTATTGTGCCTCATAAGTTAATGAAGTTTGCCACGCCACTTTTGACAAATATTTAGATTATTGTCTTAATTGATTAAATTTGTTCGTAGGATATAAATAAATGGTTAGATGATACACCAAGCTTTTCATCAGCAAGTAATTCACCAATGGCTACTTTGGCTGGTTCAGTGCTAGATGACGCTGAAGTCACATCTCGTTTGGATGCAGAGTACCGTCAAGCTCACAAGCTTGATAAACCACGTTTGCCTTTCAAAGTATGTTTTTTATATTTATAAAATATATTATTATAAAAATATTAATTAATTAATGTATTTTTACTTTAGGAAAAGAAGCGACCAACAAAAGAATCTATTGTATTGCCTTTAAAACGAAAGCGTGAAGTACAAAGAACAATTGATCGTCTACAGCCTGGTAAAAGTAAAGGCAACCTAATATCAAACAAATCAGATGATAGTCAAATTACCGCCAAACAAAAATTGATTAAAGCTGTTTTAGAAACAGCACCAACTCTTAGTTTAGGCACAGTATTGAACACTGACCTCATGGGATTTTCTTCAAAGAGACCAAGTGAAGACAAAGATCTAGTAAAGACTGAGATAGAACCAGAAAAAAGTCCTGTTGATAATTTGATTGTCATAAAAAAAGAAGAGGTTAAAACAGAATTACTAGAAGAAAAGCCCGAAAAGGCAACACCGAACCTCAGTGCATGGTTCAAAGCATTTGGTGCGCCTAAGACACAACCAACCCCAAAACGCAAGCAAGAAACTGTAGAAACATCTCCAACGTACACAGCTTATGCTATGAACGACATGGTGCCTTATGATTATACTTTGAAAGAAGCAGATAAAAAAGAAAATTTAACTACAGTGGATACTAAGAAGACAACCATACCAGTGCCTTTAGTTTCACCAGACAAGCTACCTCCTAAGCGACAAAGAAAAATAAGTACAGGTAGTAGTGTTTCTGAGCAGTCTTCCCAAAACGACTCTTGGAACTCTCCTCGGCCTAGTCTAGATGAACCTTACTTATCACCGCAGTCTGGAAGTTCTCCCCAACAATTAAAACCTTATCAAAATGTTTTAAACATTCCGCATGCTCCCATTAAAGTTGGTTTTTATCAAGACGCTTTTGCTAGGCCAAATTCAGATAAAAGCAGTAGCTGTAGTCCAAGAAATCCTTCTAGTGTAATGACAGCAAGTCCACATGGCCAAAGTCCACACCAGACTTTTACAAGTCCTTGTGAATTACCTAGTGATAGTCCTGGTAATTTTGTCGGAAGCCCTCACGATGCTAGTTGCAGTCCACACAACAATGTTGTCAATAGCCCTAAAGAGAGTCCACATCATTTAATATTGAGTCCACAAGATTCAAGTAATAGTCCTTATTATAGTCCTCATAATGTAGTCAATAGTCCAAAGGAGCACGTTGCCAGTTTAGCAGATGATTATCAACAAAATCAAAATGTTTACTCCCAATACATTGGTTCACAACAAAGTTCACCTCAAAATACTTACACAGAATTATATCCTCAACAACAACAACAACAACAACAACAACAACAGCAGCAGCAACAACCACAACAACAACCAGCTGCAGCTACAGTGCCTACTAAAACTCAAAATATATTCCCAGTAAAGAAACGTGCGTACAACGAGTGTGAGAGACCTCAAGAGATGGCGTTCACTCCAACTGATGCTAGCAAGGAACAAGAAAGAGTATTTGTACCTACTCCAGGTCAGATGCCTAACTCTAATTTTAATTCTGAACTAAACTATCAGATGGGCTATCCACGTAACGATCAAACACCTTACCAGCAAAATATGGAACACCAACACCCACCAGTACCAGTAACCTATCAAAATAGTCTTAACTATTTACAAATGGCTCGTGATCGCTGTGAAAGTGAACAGAAAACCGTTCCAAATTCGTTGTTTAATTACACAGCTCCTAATCAGACTTTTGTATCAGCACCAACACCACATTACACTTCAACTCCTTTGAACTATTCAAATCCTCCTAAAGATGCTGTAGGTTATACAACAGCTCCATTAAATTATGCAAGTCGAACGACGCCTGGACAATTTATACCTCCTAATTTTAAGCAACCTACTTCTCAACCAAGACTTAATTATAACAATCCTTATGAACAATACCCAGATCAAATCAATTTACGGCCCTACAACTATCCCGTGCTACCTAGCAAGTCATATCCACACCCAATACAAGATATGATACCGGGCAAGTCACAAAATATTGATTTTACGACTGGTCGACCATTGCCAAATATTATACCAGAAAACATGGCTTATCGTTACAATCAATCAACATATCCTGGACCCTCTGTAGCAGAAATTATGAAAAATAAAATGGAAATAAGTCAACCTACTTATTCGAGTACAAGTATGGCTGAGATGATTAAAGCAAATCAACCGACATACGTAAATACAGCTATGGCAGATATGATGAAAGTCAATCAATCAGCTTATCCTTCAAATTCATCTGTGGCTGAAATGGCAAAATCAAAACTGGAAATAAACAGATCTTTAATGATGGAACCCCATCAGTTGCCTCCCAAGCCTGCTAAGAAAATAAGTAAAAAGAAGAAAGCTGCTGCTGCTGCTGCTGCACAACAACAACAACAACAACAACTGCCTCCACCACAATCTACAATGGGGGCAACCACAGCACAAACAGTAGTGGAACCCGCTCGTACTGTGGAACCACCACGTGCTGACCCTCCCTATCCACATCATTATCCACCCCTTGTAAAACCACCCATGTCAAGTGGCCCATTCAACTTCAATCCAGCCATCAAGGATGGCTATCAGGATTATCTAAATGAAATACGGTCATCTGGCTATTTCGCAGATCCAGCTGCAGCAGCAGCACAATCAGAAGAAAGAAATCCTGCATTTGCATTTGCCAGACCTCCGTCAGGCTATGCTCCTCCACCATTGGAAGCATACAACCCCCCCAACCCCTCAGACATTTATTCACAGTTCTTACAGAGACATCCGATGATGTTGCACCAAGGACTATCAGGCTTCCCACCACCAGGGTATTTAAATGTGCACGATCCCATGAATAGGCATCCTCCTTGGATGTAATCCAATCAGTTATCAATGCTACTTAGATGTGATCCATCAGTATCATAATAGTATATTTGATTCATAACTTCTATTTTTTTAATCTGTTTGATTTATCTTATTATCATAGGAAGAGGAGAAAGGGAGTTGTTATTTATTGATTAAACAATTTTTAATTTTTTTTAATTAATTCCCCCTTTTTTATTATGTTAGTTAGCCAATAAATTATTCTGACATTTTTCAAACAAGTTTACAACATTAATATAAAATGTTTTCATTTTCTTTTTTTTCAAAAAGAGTTTTTATTCACTAATAACCATTTTACATCCCTGTAGTCGGCAATTTTAAAAACAAAATTAATTCATACTTAACAAAAATTTTGTTTTCATTTCCTCTGACAATTTGTATAATATATTTAAAAGTAAAAATGACGCCAACCATTAATTATGAAAACAATTAATCTTCTCCCAATAAACCTAAGTGCAATTGTAAAATAATAATTTATCATTATTAATTTTTCTTTGTTACATTTGTAGTTTAACTTTGAACATTGAGACATGTTCAAACACCCATTGTTAACAATTGGTTTTATTATTATATAGGTTTATAAATTTATTATTTTTAGTACTTATAGTATTGTGTTAGTTTTCCCTTAAGAACTTTTGGGCCATTTATTGCAAGCAATATTTTTTGTTAATCTGTCTATGATATTTCAATATACTTTTAACTATCCACATCTAATACGTGAGGTTTACATTTAATTTCTTTCAACTCTATCAGGGAATGTTTGAACGGTTTTATGCAACATCAAACAAGACTATTATTAATTATCATTGTGGATATTTTCCTTGAGTACATGAACCATTTTTGCATACAAATGAACTAGTGAGTTATTTTTCTAATCATTGTTTTACGTCAATTATGAATTTAGAGCTAATATATAATGATTTTATATGTATGCTCGGAATAGTTTGTACTCTAAAACATACACTCCCGTGCGTTGTCTAGAATAAAATTTAAATTGACAGATAGTAATAGTTTATTATATAAAAAAAATAATTTGTATTATTATTTATTATATTATTTATTTTATTATTATTACTACTATTATTATTATTATTTACCTAAATATTTCTTATTATAAAATGCTGTGACAAGATATTGTTCTTGCATTGATCTCATCTGTCATTTTAATAATATACAATTTAAAATCGAAAAATATAGAAAAGGTATCCAAATGAATTTGTAAACGCAAGCTAATCAGAAAAAAAAATTGTAAAACGAAATACTATTATTTATTTTTTACTTGTTAGATTTTTTTTTGTCATGTTATTTGTTAAGGAACAAAACGACGAATTGTTTATCATATTTACACGTATCTTATGTTGCCTTACAATAAAGTGTATACAATATATTATAAATAATATGTATACACATAAATATTTGTACAATGCGTGACATTTTAATATGATACATGTGGATATTGTATATTTTTGTATAGAATGTTGTCTATATAACATTAAAAACAAAAAAACTCTTATTTTCATTATATAATATCATAAAATATAGATATACATTATGTAATTATATTTGTATATAAGATAAAGATATATTATACCATTTAGTAGCACGTGCTTTATATATATTTAGTGATACATTTTTATTTCACAAAAGTTGAAGATTGTTTAGAGAAAATACAAAATAAATAAAAAAAAATATAAATAAATAATGTTTTGCGAAAAAGTGTGTTTATTTATTGTTGAATATTAAATCTATGCGACTGTCTGGTATTCTGTTCATGCGATAGATCATGCCAATATTTTTTGCATGTTCAGCTGGCATACTGATTTTGAAATTCTTAATTAACTAAAAATAATATCTTAATAATTTCTTAATATTTCATTAAATTTTATTTGATTAGTATTTTCATTTTACTTCAGACAGGAGTATTGTCATTTCCTGCATGGCGACATGTCTCCCTGGACACATTCTAGGCCCATGTCCAAAAGGTAATGAAGCATACGGATCAAACTTTTGGATGTTAGAATTTCTTAACCATCGACTGGGCTGATACTCTAATGGAGCGTTAAAGTATTTTTCTTTTGTTGATGTTAAAGAATTGAATGCCATCACTAATGTCTAGCATTTAAGTATAATTTAATAATTTAAACTATGATTGTACTATATTTAAAATTATATCACTTTGGATTTACATTTGCTGGAATTTCGTAGCCACCAATGACAGTGGTTTTTGGAAGATATCTGGCATTTGCACCTGCAGTAGGGGACAGCCTTAGCGTTTCTTTTATGCAAGCCTTTATGTAAGCATTTGTACCTTGTAAGACATCCTCCTCACAAGCCTTTTGCACGCTTTCATCTTGAGAAATATAATACAATGTCATTGCCAATGTGGTAGCAGTCTATATTAGAAATGAAGCAAATAAATAATATTATTTTTATATCGAAGTTCCAAAAACAAAAAAATACTGACAGCATCAATCCCGCCAAAAAATATTTCTAGCACAAGTAAGTTTATATCAGTATTTGATAAATTGGAATTTGTATTTATAGCATTAACTAGAGCATTGTGTTCATGAGTCTGTTTCAGGAATTCGTCAACAAAACTGAAAATTCCACATTATATTAACTACTATTGGATGTGATCTATAGTATTAAATTACTTTTTACATGTGGAATGTGAGCTTTCTAGATTTCTATAGGCATTTGTCTTATAAAATTCCCATATAGGTGGTTCTTTTAGGGTGTTGTACAATCCATCCATGAATTTATTTCCTGCTTCTACAAAACATTCGGACATGGCAGTATTTAAGCATTTTATTCTTAAGCCAGGAGAGACTATAGAAATTGCTGGGTGAAAAAAAAAAACATAAACTTACAAATAATCATGATGATGCAAAATTGTAATAAAAGTGTAACTATTAATTACCCTCAACAGAAAATTTAGTTAAGTGGTAAAAAATGTCTTTCAAACATTTATCTTTATTTCTGTTCAATTTTATATAATCAATGAAATCCACTGCTGCTTCTTTATGCTGAGGAATGTAACTTTCATAAATATTTTTTGACATTAAAGGAGCAATAGCTCTTCTTAGTCTATGCCATTCGACACCATTTCTGCAATCAGATATTTATTTTAATTAAGAAAACAGATAAATCTATGAATGTTGAATTAATAGCAATTTAAAATTTCCCAACAGCATTTAAGAGGACGTGATACCCGCATATGTTGTCTCCGTCTTACAAGTGCATAACATAGAACATTTTACGCTCAGCAAAACACGTGTAAATCCGTTATTTTAAAAATTAGAATAAATTGACCTCTTATAAAATCCGAAGGTAAGATTATTATCTAGATTATACATTATCTAATTAAAATATAATAAAAAGCTCATGAGGTTGTCTAGATAATAACTTACCTTTCGATTTTATGAGAGGTCAATTCACTCTAATTTTTAAACTAACTGAGTTCTGCTTTGCGTAGAATTTGCTATGTTACGCACTTGTAAGACGAAGACAACACATGCAGGTATCACATCCTCTTAAGTCACAATATTTAATATTCCATCAGCACGTATTTTTGTTGCGTTTTTACCATTTAAAATATTATTGTAATCAAACATTGTCTCTTATACACAACACAAATCTTCTCTATATGTATAATAATTGTTTACACTTGTATAATATTTGTTTACATACCCTTGAACTCTAATTTCTAAATACAGTTCTGTAAAAAGAATTCATAATTGGAACCAAAAGTATAATCACATATTTTTTTTTCATTATAAACGTGTTAAATCTTTAACTTGATTACTTGAAAGTTAAATAACAAAGTTGGACAGATCATTTTTAAAATTAAATTAACTAATTGTTATGTTATAAACCTTGATATTTAATATTATGTAGGTATAATATCATGATAAATTAGAACAACTTATAAGTCATACGGTTCTGAAAAAATAATTATTTACTTAGCAATTAATGTGGTAAAAACTATATTATAATACATTATTACAATTACCTACCTATATATTTTTAATTCTTTATAATGTTATACATGTATAGTCTATTCTTCTTACTCAGATACTAATCCTCCAGTGCCAAATGGTTTTTTTCTGAGTAGGTTTAAAGCCGGAAATATGGGTCTTGCCGGATGCTTGCCTTCATGGGCAAACAATGTTTTGGCGTCTTCCACTCTTGTGGTGACAATCATTGTCTTGCCACCCAATATCAGTTTAAACACTGGGCCCAACATACGTTCTATGTCACCCATAGCTTCCGTCAGACGTTGAGAGTCATAAGGACCTTTTTTTGTTAAAAAAAATTCAATTTATTCAGAATTCATAAAATAAGAAGGCAAATAAACCAATATAAATAATGTATACCGATTTTCGGAATGAACAAATGCGTGTGGCCCAGTAGAGGCCATCTTTTTGGCTCAGGTATACTACTAAACGGCTTGAACAGACGGAAAGTCATGACTACTGACTATTTATGGTCCAGGTAGACTGTGTACACAAAATCAAACTGGCCGTATACATTTAGTGGTATCGAGTTTAGTAATTTATCTGCATTCAATTTTTCAATAATATGGTAATTCATAGAAATCTGTTCAAAGTACATAATATATACGGTATGTACATACTATTAAAATTTTTTATAACTTTCCTATGTAAATTACACCATTACACATGATACACGAATATTACCTTATTATAATAATATTTTATATTATGTTTACGTCTTATGTTCTGTAATATCATGACTCGGAAAGTAGAACGACTGTATTTTCGTGCCTCGTTACGTTTAATAATATAATAAAGATACAAAGTATAATAATTAAACACGGACTATGGATATCATAATATAGATCACCAATCACAATATCATTCACATCGGATATTACTTCATTCGTATATCTTAAATCGTAATCTATTCTGTGGTAGTGTGGTTGTAGTAGTAAACTAAATTACTAAAAAGTAAATACTATAGTAATAATATACCTATAATACCACATAATATTTATCTTTCATCTAATATTATATAATTAGACGAATGCATTCACGTGAAATGTGTATCCGGGAATCGAGATTCGGGCCGTTGTCCGTTGATAATAAAAATTGTTAAGTAAACAACTACAGGTAGTTGTTATTATTTTGAAACGTCTCGTGCGACGTTGCTGGGCAGTGTGGTCGTTTTGCTTCCATACCGTGCGACACTGACGTGACACCGGCAACGTCGCACCGTCGCGTCCGGGTCCGTCATCCATTTTGTTTACATATTATCGTCGTTTTCCACCATTTCAGCGCCGCCGACCACTGCAAACGGGGTCCTCTACGGCTCTACTACAACTCCTCCGGCTGCCGTTGACACGGCCCCTGCGCCAGCGTTTTGTCGTTTATTTTTGTTGGTCGTTCTTTTTGTTTTTTTTTTATTTCCACCGTCGTAATCTACGCAGTAGACCACGTTGACGACGATATCGCATCGGGTTTACAGTTAGTCACGTAACGAACGAGTACCGGTTTTTTAAATTTTTCAAGTTTTCACATTCTTGTCGCCGCAGCAGGAGCACGAGCAGCAAGTGTACGCCGCCCACACGATTCGCCGAAATATAATTTTGAAACGTGAGTATTTACCGTCAACATCGCATGCAAAAGCGACAATTACACAAATAACAACAACAAATAAAACGGTATTGCAACTCGATTTTACCGAGAATCGTTGCTGGTATAGCATATTAGCATGGTTGGTCGCAGCAATCGACAAAGGGATGAACGTGTCGTCGCCGCCGCCGCCGCCGCTTGATCTTCTTCTGCGGGGCGGACATTTTTTTTTTACCCGATTTCATAATGTTACTTCAAAACGAGGTTTTCGTTTTCGAATCCCTTATAACTCTAAGCCATTACCCAATAAATATATCGATATTTTTACTGTTGTTTTTGTGTGTGTTGTCGCAAATAGAGATTTACGAGAAACGTTCCATGTTCTGATGGCCTGAAAATTTTCGACGCGTGACAATCTGTTATTCTGCCCTCTCTGTTTACGCAAGTGATGTGAGACGTCATTTTTCCCCTCTATTCCGTTAATAACTTTTTGACACTTTTAATTGATGTGCGTCAAATATCCCCCGAGTAGTTGCATAGGTATATTTATCGTATTCGGTGAAAATTATGTGAGGAAATGCTTTACATTTATGATATTAATGTACTACTTATTTGCATATTGCCTATTTAATATTAGAAAAATAATGTATGGTAGATACCTACTAATATCAATCAACAGAACCTAATATAATTTTAAAAAAAAAAAAACTTATAATTGTTGCATGACATTTACATTTTTTAAATTGTAATTTTTAAGTCCTATTTTCATTTGCATTGGTAATTATACGATAATTGTAATTAATAACATCTTGCGGTATTAAAAGTCTAATAATGTATCACTTCAAAACAAGCTTCATAAATAGTTTAATAATTGGTTGGTAAAATAAATTTAAAGACTTAATTATATAAAAGAATAAAAATTGCCTTGTTGTTTTAACTTTTAGTAAACATTTAACAATAAGTTATTTCAATTAATATTTTGAGATTGAAATGTTTTATAATGTTAAATAATAAATTGTGCCCACCTACTACCTACCTATATGAATATACTTATAGTTTGTTTCTAAATTTGAAATGTTTTATTAGATAATGAGTTTTTTACAATTTGAAGTAAGTAATAGTACCTATAATCAAAACAATAAATAAACTACAAAAAGTTATACATAAATAGGTGCCATTGTACCAAATTATTATAAAATATTATACAATTAATTACATAAAATGATAGGTATTAAGTGTGTATTTGTGTCTATTATGTATTGTGGCAAATAGCATTTGTAAAAATGTATATAAAGTTAGTACTAAATGCTATTATCTGTTAGTTGCATAATGAATCTATTATATGACATCATATTGACTATTTTAGTTAATTTTTTATTTATAAATAACATTGTTTATTTGTTATTATCCTTTCAGATCATTAGAAGAAACTAATATTCCTAAAATATTATTAATGTATAACGTTTTTCAAGGTTAATGTTTTGTTTTATCTCAGTTTTTGTCAGGCAATTGAAATTTTTTTTTTATGAAATGGAATTATGATAAAAACTAAAAATAGAACATTTATTAGAAAAATATTTTTCTTCTAGTAACTCTTACCAGCCTAGTGTTATTGTCATAATTATAATGTTTATCATCGGTATTTTTTACAGGGACTTACATCTAAATTAACTGGTATCCATAACACCCCTTAAACAATCAAACACATACCTAACTGATTCTTTTTTCAAATCTTTTATATTACAAATTTCATATGATATGCATATTTTCCTATGTATCTTCAGGTACCTATTTATATTTTGTGGTAATAATTATGTTTAGATGAATAATAACAATATCTAGGTGTTAATTATTTAATATTTCTTACTATCAACTAATTTAACATTTATGCAATTAATTATGCTTAGTTTCATCATTCATTCATTGAGTAGTATTATTAATCAGTTATATTTTATGCTTTAAGAATTAGGTAAATAGTTTTTAAAATAAGTTTTTACTGAACTAGTTAACGCCCGTATTTTAATACTTAAGACCATTCAATTCTTTATTTAAATTTTTTTAGCATACATCTAGGTATGATAAATCTGAATAAATATTTCGGGCTCTGGTTTCACATTATTATAACTTTTATCTTTTAGTATTATAGTATTTTCATATACATCCACCTTGGCCATTTGCTCACTCAGACAATTAAAATCCACTACCAAATTTTTACTTCATGCGACATGCTTAAATACATACGTTAATACAAAGAGTATTTGGTAAACAAATATACCCATTGCTGGTATTAGAAATAAACCTATACCGATGGCTAATAGGAGTTTTTAATTGAAGTAGGTATTAGTTTTAAATGAAATTTCTATATTCAGTATTACATATTATTTAATTAGGTTCTGTAATTTCTCAATCTAAAATGCCTTTTATATATCTACCTATTTAATATTTATTTATTATAGGTTTATTTTATAAGTAGGTACTTGTATATACTTTATATTTTTCCTATTCAGTAGGTATTCAATATTTATCAACAAGTTAATCGTTAAATTATTTTTTTTTTGTGTTTGTAGTTGTCAAGACTTAAAGAAACATGTCTCATCGTGACTGGGATCAATCATGCAAAGTGTACATTGGTAATTTGGGCCAAAATGGTACTAAACATGAAATTGAAGCATCATTCACAAAGTATGGTCCATTGAAAAATACTTGGATTGCTAGAAATCCACCTGGCTTTGCTTTCGTTGAATTTGAAGATCCTAGGGATGCTGAAGATGCAGTCAGGGGACTTGACGGAACGTAAGTAAAAAAATATGATATAGTGAAATTGTTTCAAATACCTATAATAATAAGTTAAAATTTTTGTAGCCGCATCTGTGGAGTACGTGTGCGTGTTGAAATGTCTAGCAATAGACCTCGTGGTGGACGCGATGGTCGTGGTGGTGGTGGAGGGGGCGATCGCAGAGGTGGCGGCGGCGGAGGAGGTGGTGGATACAACAGAGGTCCTCCACGTTACAATGATAGGTATAATGACAGGTAACATTTTATTAATTTATTCTTGATGGAATTATTAACATGGAATTTATGTTTAATTTGAGTTTGTTTGAACAGTGGGTTCAGTATACTTTCAGATAATTTTTTAAATATTAAAAAACATTAATTAATTAATTATAATCTTTTCTTATAGTAAATAATTCAATACATTTTGAATTCCTGTTGATCATTAACAATTATGCTAATAATTGACTTTTTATTTCATTGATTTTTTGAAATTATATTTTTCATTTATTTCCTTGTCCTACCTTGTTCTGGTAAGTTTGTTTTTTAATATGAGGTTCACTTCTCTTAGGAAAATAATTTTTTTTGTTAATTTGTTTTTTCTAATTGGGCTTTAATTGGATCTTTTTTATTTTTGGGATAATTTACAGGAAAAGGATCATTGGTTTTCGCCCATACTAAAAAAATTTATCATCCCATCTTATAAAAAATCTCACACTGACAATATGACTTGACCAACAATTTTCGTACTTCGCTCCATCAATTCTACCGAATTGAAATACCGTAACGTGTTATTTAACATCATGCGGGTGGAAACAGCCTATTCTACACTATTCTACAATATTCTTCCAACGCCTCTACCCTACGATCAACTCTTCACAAGCACTTGTATGCTTTCTTGGCTGTTTTAACGTCTCCACTCACACTCTCCATCTAAACAACATATGGTATTATTTATTCTTTCATTGAAAATTGAGAGTTGTAAGTTAAAAGGTATTTAGTTTTTTGTTTTGTTTTTTTAAACAATTACCTATGACATGTTTTTTATAAGTATTTTTAATAGGAGCTGTAATAAGTAAGTATAATTAATATTCCCCTGTGTGGAATGGATATGGTTATAGTATGTGTTATTATTATGATATATAACTATTTAAATTGTATTTTAGATCACGATCACGATCTCCCAAACGTCGTGCACCGCCTTCACGGTCACGTTCAAGGAGCTACTCACCAAGACAACGTCGTACGTCACATTCCTAAGATAAACATTATAAACAACGATGATACAGGTTCCATTTAATATGAACTTTAGTACTCCCCAATTTATTATTGTTCCCTAAATATAAAACTTCAATATTTTCTGTTAGTATTCTACAGAAATCTTAATGATTTTTTTTTTTGTAATGATCTAATTTGTAATTTTTTTTTTACTCGAGATCATTTGGTATTTCCAAAAGATCACATCAAATTTGATAGCTTTATAATAAGTTGACTTTTGTAAGTTATTTTTATTCATTGTACCTACCATTAGTTTGGTTTACTTAAAATATACAATACTCTTAGATAAATAATTTGACTATTTTTTAGTTTTATGGAATGTCTGTGTTAGTCCTGAACTCCTGATACATAATTAGTTATTACTTATATAATGCTTCCTGAGTTCCTGACCATATTTAAAATTGTGCATACCTTTGAACAATTACCTTATGTAATTTGTGATTTATCTGTTAAAATATTTAAATAAATTAGCTATCAGATTTTAAAAAATGAAAATAAACATTCTGTGATCTGGGGTAAGGTAATCAAATAATAATGATATAATTATTAATTTTGGTAATAAACTAAAGACCAGTCATAAAATAATTAAATCCATTATTTAATTTACTAAGATTTTACTATTTACAAAATTATATTCTTATTATGAATTAAATAGGTGTTTACTAATGTATTAAAAAAAATCAATATTAATTTAGGTATTGTTCATAATCATAGCAATGTAGTCTTCGTTAAATCAAAATTACAAGAAATATTCAAATTCAAAGCGAGTTAAATGTCTATTAAATTAGTTTTCTACATTCATTAACCAGTATATTAAGTAATTGTGTACTTTTTAAGGATGTTGACCAGTTGCCCTCAACGGCTGTTTAAAACATGTACCGATTGCCTTCAATGTAGTTATTATAAAATAATAATACATTTATGCCGATTACAGAACAAATACAATATTAATAATAAGTTATTATTACAACTAGCATAATTTATAAATTTTAACTCATTTACCATTTTTTTAAATTTCCAAAACCGGCCAATTTAACTTACTTTATTTATTACTACTATGGCAGTAATGAATTTGTAACTGTTATATCAGTAGTGTGCACGTACATAGAAATTGCTATGTAACGCTATAGGTACGACTTATATGTTCTGTGATTACTCAACCAGTGCCGCAACTACAATTTTGAGGCTCAGGTGCAAGATAAATTTTAGAGGCCCTTTATAATTTTTTTTTTAGTGGTGTCTACATTTTGAATCGTTGATAAATTGATGAGCTATGACTGGGGGTTGTACAATAGTACTCAAATATCATACACTACAAAAATAAATATTTATGATATTTTCTCTTAGAATTTCAACTTCTACTTTACTTCAAAAAGGGTGGAACTGCTTAGGTAAAAACAATGCATGTTTACAGCCTTACAGGAGAATAAATGTTGTTAAGACCAACCAAGACATTTATTAAAAATAAATCAATAGAGGCATTTCATACCTACCTTATAACTTTTAAGTCATATACAAATCTGAGGCCCCAAATCTTACATTTTGTAGGCCCGTCAGACGGTAGTTGCGGCACTGTACTCAACGCATTATTATACATTATGTACTGTGAATCAGCTTATTGGTGTAAAATAAACGACAAATGAACTAATAGACCAAAAATCTTAAAATAGAACATTTATTTTTAAATATTAAAATTTCCCTTGAAATATATCAGTGCCCCAATATCTAAAGCAACGCAATGCTGCAGTTTATTGTCCTCTATCATTTGAAACCATTGAAAATATTACTGCTATAGCTGTAATGCTATAATATACAATTCTATTTACTGCTATTGGCCGTCAATGTGTTAACATTATCTCATTTTTTGATTTGAGAAATATCATATGCTACTTGTTATAAATATTGCATTAGTTTTATTATAGGATTTTTTTTTTTATATATTTATATAACATTTATAATTTATATTACCTTACCTATTTTACATTCAGGTGTGGTATTATAATTTTCTATATAATATGTTGAGATCAACTAGTGTATTTTTCACTAGGGATTTTGAGAATTAGTATAAAAATGATAACTTTTAGGGCACATGACCCTATTTAAATCTGGATATGCATAGTATTGGAGCAATCTTGTTCACTGTGTCAGTAATATTATCCAATAGCCATCTGGGTAATTTGTGTACATTTTTTCCCATTTAAATGTAGTAAAATAAATAACTGTTCAGACCATTCAAGTGCCAACTTTTTAATGTGATGGGATTACAATTTGGTCAACAAATATTTCTGTTGCTGAGATAAACTAAAAGGTTAATTGAATATATAATAAATATTATTATATGAATGGTGTAGGTATTGATGTCTTACAAAAGATATTAAATGCGTACCATAGATAAATAAAAAAAAATAATAGTAAATAGATATTATATATTTATTTTGTATAATTAATAGGTTATAGACAAATGATATGTGTGTTGAAAAATAAATTGTTTTTGGTTAATTAAACAATGGCAGTTATATATATTTAATCACAAGTATTTCTTTTGAGAGTGAAGGTAAACATTTCTTACAAATAAGTGGAAAATTATCAATTAAGATAAAAACATTGGTATATTATATATTATGTACATTTTATTAATGTTATACTATGCTTATTGCTTAGTAGTCTTAATTCTAATTTTTACACGAAATTATAGTTAATGGATAATTAAAAATACCTATATAGTATGAGTACCTAGGTAAAAGAAGACAATATTAAATAAAAACGTGGAGGAACTGAGGTTTCACACAATTTAAAATCTTAAATGTTATTGTCGTAACTGGACTACGGAGCTGTCATTTGTTTAAATTTTTCTGGTTTTACGTTTATACTGCTTATTTTTGTCTTTATGTCGTTTACATAACGAGATTTATTACCTGAAAATTAAAATTTGGTAATTGTAGGTATTGTTATATTAAAATCAATAACTGCTTGCATATAAACCTGGATTGAAGAAAATTTTTTCCAAGCCGATTATGGGCGATTCGTAGAGTAATGTCAAACAGAAAGCAGCCAGGAACGATAAGGTGATGTCTCCAAGCGACAACCACACCTACAATGACAATAACAATAATAATTTCAAAGCTAGTTTTAAAATATCTTCAGACTTCAGGTCAAATATAATATAATAATAATGAGGTGGTAGCAATAATTATCAGTAATATTTACCAGGTTATAGATGGACGCGTGAAACGGTGTCCGAATGGAGCCGACTGTATACAACTGAAGTCCACCGTGGCACAAGAATGCGCAGTAAGTCAACCGACTCAGCGTTATTACTGGTTTCCAGCAAAGGATGGGTTCAATAAAACCTATTGTACATATAATAGCGGACTTATTAGAAAACTAATAATTAATAACCATAGCTTCTGCTATGATCCAAAGTGGCAATGATAGGTATACATTTTGTCGGGTAAACACTAAATAATTTGTAGGTATTGTTTTTACCTCCGTTGCCGGTGGACACTGCGATGATTGTCCAACTGACGCCTGCTGCCCACGTGATGCGGTATAGTGCGCCGTATAGAGCGGCAACAAAAGCGTCGTACTTGTAGTTGGGCTTGTAGAACCACCAGGCCGAGAACAGAGTGCCGAATATGAGGACTATCGAAACGATCCAACTCGACCATACCACGTACTGATTGGTAAGCAGTACAAACAAAGCATATTAATAATATTAACACTATTGCCATTTACAACCAATAACTAATAAGTAAAAGTTATATAATATATTATACATTTATATGTAAACCGTAGTACGTCTTATTGGAAGGACATAATTACAATGGGCACAATGATGACGATACATCGGAATAATTAATGGATGGTTCTCAGGATAAGGTCGATACCTAATTTTGGCCATTTTTCGATTATTAAACCGTGCTTTCTTTTAGATGATGATGTTCTACCTACGCAGTTCTTACTACAAAATACATAATATCAATTATTAAGAAGGGCGCCTACATCAAATTGTTTTATAGCTATCGTTTACAGCACAAAGTTAGATCAATGATAACATGTAATAAAATAATTTTCTCGATATTATTTCATATATTATTATATGTGTCTTAGAAAACATAACACCAACATTTTTGAAAAAAAATTCTATAGTACCTAATATTATAAACATTTAAATGTTAGATGACAGGAGTGATGTAGGTACCCGTGAGTGGCGCAAGGACACCTCGCAAAATGTTGGTGCTCTTCAACACAGCTCATCAAAACTTTTAAAACTTTTAATACTTATAACTAATTATAACTATACTGTCTTACTAGTTCACAATTGCTTAGAAAAAAATTTTGCTGTGGAATAGGAAATTAAAAAGACATGTTTTATTATTGAACAAATACCTATAACGATAAAAATTATTAAATAATATTATTATTTATACAACAATATTGTGTTGCAATAAAATATAACTAAGTACATTAAAATAAATTGTTTTTAAACACCTAGCTTGCCCGAAAAAATGTGTTATCATTTTGTGTAATATTATAAGTACTCTATATTATAGTAGGTACAAGGTACGTATTGATATAAAATGACGCTATTCGGACGTGTGTCCAGCATGACCTCAGCATATTTTGTTTGTATCCACTAATTTTTATAATTTTATTTATATTTTATATTTAGTCACCTATACATTTTGAATTTTGCTTCAAAGACCAAAGTATTCCGACAAGAAAATTATTAGAAAATGTAAATGAAATTCCATCAATAAAATGATTATCGATTTCATCGGCAGCTAGGTAATTGTGATAAGAATAATTTTTTATAAAATTTATCTCAACACAGCTATTTTAATATAATTTTAGTTTATTTTTATGATTTGTAACAAGTATAATGTGCTAAATATCGTCTATAGAGGGAGATTTTTTGGTTGTTATTGATCTAAGCAAATTTCTTAAAAAAAACAAAATGTTCCTTTCTGTGAGATCGTTAT